GATCAGTACCCCCAGAGGTATTGATTTGTTGTGGGAACATGGAGGACTTTGAGACTCGACAGATTTAACGTGCATCAGTCACCATTTACTACACGGGGAGTCTTCGACCGGCGAGGATCGAACCCACGACCTCTTGGATATGAGCCTAGTGCCCTACCGACCAGGCTATCTCGGCCTTCATTTAGAACCATTAGTAAGAAAACGTAAATAAAAAAAATTATAAAAAAAAATAAAAAAAAGATTTTCTATAAAAATGTCCATATCTCCATTAATATTTAGCTAGGCATACAAAATGTTATGCAGTTATTTCATATTATAATCAACATGAGTTACAAGCTTATCGCTTTATTTTTTAGCATAGGATGCTCAAAAGCATTTTGTTGCCGGTCCCTCAAACTTTAAAAAGCTTTCAACATTGTTGATATATGTAAGAGACGCTTCGAAAGTTTTAAAATAATTTTCTAGGTATTTCTTGAAAAAATGAGTTAGTATGGAAGTGTAGTGTTCCCTGTTAGAAATTAAAAGATTGCGCAAGTTAGAGAAAAACATTGCAAAGATGCATTTATTACAACCTGGAGGTATCTGGTTCGAATCCCACCGTATCCCAACATGTATGTGTGTGCTGTCTTTCTCTATCTTGTGCTATTTGTGTATCGACTTGATAAGGGCATACTAGCTTAACTTTGTAATAAGCACTTAAGTTTGAGTATGTGTGTAACAATAAATAAATAAATAGATGCATCCAGATTACGGATCCAGATACAGTGGAATTTGAACCCGCTACCTCTACGCTTCCATTTAAGAATGTTGGGACAGTCTGAGGTAGTAATTTTATTTACTCTTATGTAGTATTTATTTAAGCTACTGTTTTAGTTCAGCTTTTAGTTCACCCACCCGCACACTGACAGCAGTCAGTAATGCTTGTATTCGGTGATCTGTCTTAACGATCAGTCCACTGTGGGACCCAGTTATTTGTACATTAACAAATACGTCATTTTTATAATATTAAATATTGGTAAATCTTAACTTACAGCTGACTGATAGGAAAAAGAATTAATAAACGACGAGAAACAAAGTTAACAAATAACAGTTAAATGAAATACAAATTATCAATATGAGCATTTTTGCGTCATTTTAAACTGTTAAAATTACCTAATTTTGTTTAAAATTACCTAATTTTACCGCATTTACTAACAAACATCATGGTAATAAAAACGATATTTTATTGTTTATTTTACCAAAAAGTCTTTACCAAAGCGCTTTGGTAAAAATTACCTTGTTTTTTTGGTGTTCCTATAGGGTCAGAAATGCGGTAAATTTGACAGTATCCTGTTGGTTTTGATTACACTTTTCTTCTCAGTGAAGTTGCAACTAAGTAAAAACGTTTTTCAGTGACTTTTCCAGTAAAGTACAAGTGTGACTACCAACTGACAAAAGTCATAGTAAATAGTCAGTGAAACTTCATGTGATATAGCATCAAAGTCACATTATGACATCAAAGTCACATTAGTCACGCAATGACACAATTTAAAACGGACACATCTGTGACTGCTGTCACCATTTTTGACTTTTTAATGATGTCACTGTAACAATCTGTACTGTTTAGGTAATTCATAATAAGTATCAGTCTCTTATAGATTCATTCAATTAATAAGTTTTCAATTTTATGTGCTTATCTATACAAACATCTCAAATATCTACTTTTTAGGAATGAATAAGGGTAATTTCAGGTGTTTAAAACAGAAAAAGATGACTCAGAAGAACACTAAAATATAATCAATAGACCTCTCTTTCAATATTTTGAAGCAGTCCTTAAACTATTGCTTAAAACAGAAAAAGATGACTCAGAGAATGATAACTAAAATATCATCAACGGGCCACTTTTTCAATATTTTGATGAAGTCCTAAAACCATGGTTTTAAACTGAAGAAACTGTCTCAGAGGAACACTAAGATATCATCTTTGGAACTCCCTTTTAAAACCTAGATGCAGCCCTAGCTCTACTGTTTTAAACTGAATATGATGACTCAGTGGAACACTCAAATATTAACGATGGGCTAATCTTTTAAGATTTTGATCAAAGCCCTAAAACCCGTTTAAAGTTAATAATCTTAATATATACCTGGTAATAGAACTCGCAATTGCTTCCTGTCTAGTTTTGAATTTGGCGAAAGTAAATGAAATGCATGAACTGAAAGGGAATAAATAAAGCTGCGTCATGGTATTTATGGAAATAAGAATGTAAAAATGAAAAAATATTGTTTTTAAGAAAATGAATATCAGGGAGACATATTTCTGCGCTGTCGAATTTAGTTATTTCATTTTGATTTGAAATATCATTTTTTAAAAATGTTTTAAGAAACGAAAAATGTAATTGATTAATCATGATTATAATTACAGGCTATTTCTAACTATAATTACAGGTTTTGTAGATCATTACGTAACTCTCTCGGAACCTCTTTTACCTTTCAACCAAAACCCAGGGTTCCGCGAAACATCTTTTGGGCTGCTATAAAAAGAAAATAGCTGATTAAAATGTATTATAGGCCAATGAAATAGAATTGAGGTAGTGCGCAAATAAATTATCGCACTTTATAGAAAAACTTGCCTTAATAGCTTATGACCATTATTATCTCTTTTTGCTGCGCTATGAAATGGCTATTTAACAGACGTGGGCGTAGAAACGCATTGATAATAGCAGCAGCCAATGAAACCCAATCCTCTAAGCTCCGCCTTCTCTCCAACCCATTACTGAAGTCAATCTCAGCTTTTTCGACTGACGACGTATCGCAGAGTCTTTTATTTCGATGGAGGGTCAAATCAACGCTCGTAACAAAAATGTTCGCGATGATTTTTGATAAAGATTGTTTTTGGTATTCGTGAATTTTATGCCATATTATCAGGTGAAAATGTAGATGAGTGAGTGACAATGTCTTCCGAAAATTCACCAAGCAAAGCTCCATCTGATTTTTCCGAAAATCTTTATGACAGTTCAGAACACGAAGAAAATGGTACAGATGAATATTTTAAACCTATAAAAAAACTTCGAATGATTCAAGAAATAGCTCCCCCACCTAAACCGATCACTTCATTTCTGATTCGAGATATTTTAAATCCCAAATCCAATGAAAGAAATATTGTTCGACCATGGGATTTGGGACGTTCTACTAGTGAATCTCCATTAGATGCACTTTTTGAAATGACTAATAAAGCTTTTGAAGGACTTGAGGCTGATGATCATAGAAATTTAGGTAGGATTTATTTTTATTAATTATCATCCTGCATGGCTCATTTATTTTCCCCTCATTCATACTTCCATAATTTGTAAAACATTTCATTAATTACTTTAATGAATAACAAATTTTTCAGTTTCAACGTTTTATTCATGTGAATAATATTCGATATCCTTTTAAAAATATTATTAGTATTGCATAGATGATTCATAATTTCTTTGGTACTATTTTAAAAAATTTATACAGATATTGTTATAATTTTTGAATTAAAATTTTGGTGTTCTAGAAGGATGTCCATTAACTAAAGGGATCATCATAAATTATTGTAAAATATTACCACACATACCTTTAAAAAATATTTTTTATAACCAAAAGAACGTGCCAAAAAATGTTTTTTCCCTTTTTTTTTAAATAAAATTTAAATAAAACGGTCATTTCACAAATGGTAGCAATACTGTCCGGAAGTTTTTTTTTTAAGTGTTCATGTCTAAAAATGTTACAGTAATAAATTTATTTTAAAAAAAGTAAATGCTTTAAAATAATTTATTCATCCTAAAAATAATTTTTCAAGTATTTTTTAATACTTTCTGAAATATTTTTGTTACAATATTTGAATATTTGAATATATTTTGAAATATTTTTGTTACAAAATGCCATATTCTTTCATGTGAAATCATATAAAGTAACCTATAATGAAACCTTGCGCGCGTAACGTACTCAACGCAAATTCCCATAAATTTATAACAATGCAAATGTTATTATACTTTATTTAAATAGAAAAGTATAAGTAATGAGTGACATATATTGAATTAGTTCCCAAATATATCTGAATATTTTAAGTATATCATTTGCTATAAAATCAAATACAGTCGTTTAACTGCGTTTCGGATTCTCGAAATATCCGCTTTTAAAAATAAAATTGAGTGAAATTAAAAGAAATTATTTGAAATTCCACCCGACTATTTATGGTTATCGCTTAATTGCATAATGAAGAGATTAAATTATTTTAGAAATTGCTAAAATGGATTTCGGATGTTCAATAAGGATTTCCAATTGAACAAGAGTTAGTTTGAGCACCATTTAGAATAGAATGAAACTGTGTTCTTGGAAAAGAAATGCACTATTCATAACAATTAGTTCATTAATTTTACAAAATTGACCCTCTAGTTATTTATTTATCATTACACTGACTTTATTCCCTCAAAGCCTTATTACATAACATTTCAAAGTAAAATTTCGTAAATACGTAAGTAATCGAATAGCCCACTTATTTGAATACCTTTAAGCAGAAGTTCTTTAGAAGAATAAAAAAGAATCATGTTCAAAAATGTTAGAATGTTAAAAACAAAATGTTTTATTTTGTTAAAATGTTGTCGTCTTTCCACTTTTTTTTCACCACTTAGGTGGAACAATTTTTTCAGAATTCTTTTCGAACAATTTATTGCTGCTCTCAACTTATGTAACAAATATATACATGACAACAAATTAAGCACATAATAACAAATTTACAATACAAAATTACAAATTTATTGGAAGAAAAGTTTCATTTTCACAACAATATTCGAAATAACAAAATATTAATTGTCCACAACATTGTGAAATATAATGATTCAATTCAATACAATGAAACACATTGAGTATCACTGTATAGTAGAATGTTTGTTCAAAACACGAATTGTTTTCATTTTTGTCTTATTGATTCTTTTAAGTAAAATACTATAGGAATATTTATTTTTAAACCATACATCAAAAGAATTATATATTTAATTATAAACTATTTGAAACAGTTTATGTGTGTTTTATTTTTTTTCAAGACTTTTTTCTCTTATAAACAAGTTAATGAAAAATATTTATTCCTGTTACAAAGTCTTCATCAAAACTGGTAAACTTTTATATCTTGTGAATAAATGTTTTAAAAGCGACAATCATATAAATAACCTGTTAAGAAAATTGCTTTAATCGAAGAGTTGAACAGTTAAAAAATGTAGCTTAAAAGACGTCTTATGAATCTTATGAAAAATATTTCGACAAGCATTTATTGAGATATTACTGCAATGAATATTATTTAAATTATTCACAAATTTTACTCATTTTAGAGCTTGTGGTTACCTGAACTACTAAAATAAGGCACAAAACTATTGAAACTATTGATAAGTCAATATGAATTATCAATATTTTAATTTGACCAAATTTATTTAGCAAGTGAATGAAATTTCTATAGAATTTAATATATCATTTATAATAGTTCATGAATATTTACTAGACAACTCTCTTGTTAAAAGACGTTCATATACATTTTGTTCTAAGACGTTTATAAACATGCGAGCGTGATATACTGACGTTATTTTCTTATGCAAAATTTAATTTTTTGAACAAGTAAATGAAAATTTATTATTTATTCTATTCTATTGTTATTAATCTAGCAGTACATAAAAAGTTGAAAATAATACGTACTTTGTTGGGAAAGCTTTACATTTGTTTAACTGCTTCAATATATAAAAATAGAGAATTAAGTTCGAAGAAGTTTAAATATAGATGAAATTAAGTAAAGTTTTATTAATTAAAGTCCACATAAAATTTAGCTGTGAATTATAATTTTATTATTAAGAAAATACTTTACACATTTAATGCACAATAGAATTGTTATTATTTTAAAATAAAAATAAGATACAGTTTTTTTTTTCACATTGAGAAACCAATAAATAATTTTCTTAATATTTTGAATAAATAGGATATTTAAATATATATTAAATATATTAAAATAATAGAATATAGGATTTAAATAATAGGATTTTTTTTTATACTTTACTTTTTATTTTTGTAGTTTTAAATTTTGTTAGCAAAATTGTTGATTTAAATTTTTATACAAAAGTGGCTCTATATATTTTCTGTGAAATTAAATACCTATGAAATATTTCAAAATAGATTTCAATATTATAATAAAGTTTATTGCATTTTGCTTAAAACATGAGAATTAAATACAATGTAAAAAATTCCGGATTCAATTATGATAAAATGCCTACTAGCACTCAGGGTGCTGCTACTTTTTACCGTAAAATTTTACGAAACAAAACAAAATTAATGTATGTACCATACATTTCGCAGCAATATTGAATAAAATTACTAAATCACCGTAATTAAGTAAAAAATACAGCAAAAATGGTGTGAAATTTTACGGTAAAAAAGGGTTTTACAAATTCTGAGGGTGCCAAGTGGAAGTTCTTTTTACCGTAATTTGATCCAGAATTTTTTTACGCTGTAATAAAAAAAAAGATTTTTTTCATACAAATATATAGAAATACAAAACAAAAATCGTTAAAGAATGTTGTTTTAATGGTGTCCTAAATGTAGGAAATATGGGAGGCAGTAAGAAAGAACGAAGGAAAATCGCAAACGAAAACTACAAAGGAATAATGAAAAGTTGTGTAAAAACTGCGTTTTTCAAGTTAGAAATTTTCTCAAATAATTTTTATGTTATATTTTTTAATTTAGCATAAATAGGTCTCGAATATCTAGTATTATTAACATCCTGTGCATTTGACTGTACGACAAGGACACAACTAAAAAAATATTGGCATAATAAATTATATTTGCAGTACGGGTATTTACGGTAATTAAATCATGTGCTTGATCATTTTTCTGTTCGTCATAGCAATGATATGTTGGAAGTTCTTCTTTCGTTTAGTAAAAATGCAATGCTAAAAAATAAATTTATCAGAAAGTCATATAGAAGAATAACGATAACATTACCCTCCTTCAAAAAGTAGACCGTAATTCGTAAAGTTTCCGCATAGTCCAGTTTCTTTAAAACCACCGTTACCCGGTAGTTCTAAAGAAATTATTATGAAATAGAATGACCATGCTTTTTAGATTGACTATGCTTGTTAACCATGTTTTCTGGTATAGTTTATTTACACTATATTTTGAAGAGACTTAATATATTATTGCGGAATCTAACTATTTTTAATTATTTCTTTTCCTGTTATAATTAAATTTATATTTCTTTTTCTGTACAGTAAAAAGTTGCATGTATCTTAACACCAAAAATCTTACTTTGCATTAAAATTCCTATTCACTAAACCAGGGAAAGTTCCTGGTGTAGTCCTTCTTTTACACTACTTGGAGTAAAGCCACCATGTTTGTTATTCAGTAACATTAAAACTACAGTAAAAGATATGATAAGAATCAGTAAAGAAAATTGAATTTAGCCTGTTAGAATCTTTTAATCTGGAGAATCTGAAAAATATGGTCCCCATAGTTAGGTCTGGAGAGCGATTCAAAGTTTAAACCCCTTCATGTAAATTTTATTTTTCGCGTATTTCTCCATATCCCAAAAAAGTTTTTAAGCAAATTGAAAAAAATTTTGAGCGCAATAATAAGATTTGTTTATCCAAAGATAATTCTTAGCAAAAAATCTATTTTATCAATAATTATTATTTTTCTGTTTTATTAAATATTCGTCAAAAAAATTTTGAATTGTAAGGTAGACAATTTTTTACATAATTTTAAGTACGTAATTTTACATGGCAGAAAACGAAATTGGCTGAATTTTTCTTCAGAAATCGAATATGAAATACCTGACTTTTTCGAAGTTCAGTTTCTCAGAAACTATTTAACCGATTTTGCTCAAGTTTCGTATTTTACCATGTAAAATTATATTCTTTAAAATGATGCTAAAAATGGTATACCTCACAGTTCCAATTTTTTTTTCCATTCTTAAAAAAATAATAAATGTTTTCTAAAAGTTATATTTTCCTTGAAATTGTGTTTGGAAAAAAGTATTTTATAATTGTGTGCAAAAACTTTTCAATTCACTTTAAAAGTTCTCCAGATATATCGAAATATACAAAAAGTAAAATTGTCATTAAGGGAGTCCAAACTTAGGAGCTCTCTCCTGACTATACTATTGGCACCATATTTCCCAGATTGTGGCTATATTTTGGGGGTTAGAGTCTGTTTTTACTATTTTTAGCTCACTTTACACTTAAATTGGGGTTTACTTTTGTTTGTGTTTAAAT